CAAGCCTCCCAGCGCATTCTGGATGACCACCACGCAACTCCGATTTCTCTACCTCCCGTTAAAGTGCGGGGGTCGATTGTGGGATGGGCATCGGTCAGTCACGCCTCAATTCCCATGAAATACATATCGACCGTTTATCGTGCTAGTGCGCGTGCGCCTCTGTATGTGTATTGTGTGTTTGTCCCCCTCCGCTGATATCAGTGAATCATGTGCGTTCAACGCTTGAGCCAATACAGTGCGATTGCTCCATCGTCTGGTCCCTCTCATCCGGNTCCGGGGAGAGCTTGAAATAATCGCAGGACAGCTTGAAATAATCCGGGGACAGTTTGAAATGATTCCCGGACAGCATGATATAATACTGGGACAACTTGACATGAAAAAGGTATAGTGATAACTCATGGTTTGAGAAGCAGCCAATTGCACTCAATCTAACAACGAAATCGAACGCAAACACTCAACCGTCATGGTCAAACGAGGCTGTTAGCTTGGGTGGTATCGTCTCCCATCGATTGGTGAGCTGTTTAACGATCCGAATGAGGAAACCTACACTGATCATTCACTGTACATCTTTGATGTCTTAGGACCAGGTAGACTACAGATATTCAAATTAGATCGTGACTAGCTATTGAAAGCTGTCAACCACAACCAAAGAGAAGCGAAGAAACACTGACGATTGTTTCATCGTACGTATTATGCAGCGTGAAATGCTTCTTTTGAAATTTGATAATAACCCAACCATTCCGATTGGTGCAGTGATAAAGCGGCATTCGTCGCATGACAGGAAAACGGAGCAGATTTCGGTTATGATTCTGCTGGAATAATTTTTCATAGATAAACGTGTCCCAGGGGTGAAGAGCAGTCAATTTTCAGTTTCACATTTGTGAAAATTACTTTCTAAATAGATTTTTTGTCCCGTTTTGCGTAACTTTTTCTGATGAAACAGATTCAATATATTCATTCAATGCATCAGTACATTTGCCACTTACCTTTTGCGTGCCGCGAATTGTTGCGAATGCTATCTTTATGTACAAAACAACAAAAAGAGTCAGCTATCTGGTTTCCTTCTGGAATTTTCATTCACAGAAATGGTACCGCAAAATATGACAAAACTTGCTCCCCAGTCTTGATAGTTCACTATTTACTTGGTCCGGCTACGCTCCACTGTAAAGTGTGATAATCATGTCTGAGGCAGGGTCTACTGTTCTTCTCCAACACTTTGATTATCTTCAGTGTAAAATTTCTTGCCTTATCGTTAATCGGTCCATAACATCCACTTGACAGACGCTTGCGCATCATCGTGCGATTGCTCCTTCCTCCTTTACTATCCGGTATAGACTACAGATTTCGCTCGTCTTAGTTTGCCGGCCTGGTTTTTTTCCTACACTTACGTTTACTCGCGAGACCCGGTAATAGACTTTTTAGTCAGCCCTACAAGGTGATTCAAAAAGTCGGCTGCACAGTGGTTTGTGGATGCCGTGTCTGACCAACATCTGCGTGATTGTGAAATACTTTGCCCAATTCTAGTATTCCTCTCTTTCATTACCATTCATTCATTCATTCATTCATTCATTCATTCATTCATTCATTCATTCATTCATTCATTCATCATTCTGTGAGTAGAACCAGTTTGTTTGGGAAAACGGTAATTCCCTGATATGGGAAACTAAGTGATTAATTCAGCACCTATGTGAACTGGTGCTACTTGATCATCCCACCTGATCCTAAGTCTTTTCATTCGTCACCCACGGGAGAAAGGACTAACCTCGACATAGACCTCGATGGCTGTGAGATTTTCCGACACCAATATGAGCGGAGATTCAGCAGTCGCTTTGTTCAATTCCGTAGTTGTCCACTGCTTCTTCTGAACGACCACATGTTTTTTGACTTCGCCACAATCTTGCACAACCTTGAATGAATAGATTAAGCGTAAGAATGACAAGAGTAAAAAAAGATGAACGGAATCTACATATGTATATCCAGTTTTACTGTGAATGTCTCTATAACTGCAGAATGCGCAAACGTTCTGGTTTGCTGTAATCTCTAACAGCCGCAAAACATCAATCAATCAATCAATCAATCAATCAATCAATCAATCAATCAATCAACTAGCAAACCAACCAATCAATCAATCAAATAATTTAACAGTGATAACTCACTTCACGTGGCACGAACACATAAAAGTATCTCTTTGGTGTCAGATTCTGTAGCGCATTCTGAGTTTCGGTCGACAGGCAATGATCATGATGAATAAGAAATTGTGGAAGATCTTTCTCATGTTCCAAGGTTTTGTACAAATCCAGATGACACTGTCCATCTGATTCAATTGTTCCGGGAATGCATTCACATTGAGTGTTACCTGAAGTATGAATGTAAAAATGTACAAGTCACGTGATTCAGTAGCAGCTTGAATTTAGCTGATTTGTGATAAAAGCTGCGGACAGATTGAACTGACCCGACTACAACTGTCCCCGGAATTGTACCACCGAGTCACTCGTTCCACACGGATTCACGCGATCATGAATGCGTGTGATGAGAGCATAAATTCAGCACCAGCTCGGGAACAAATTTTGAAGCAAATCTAAGAGTAGAAGTAAAGTAAACTCAAATCAATGACGAATTTGGATCGGCCTTTGCACCTTTGGACATTTTGTGACGATCAGACGCTCCAAGACAACGCCAGTCAAGGGACAATATAATGCAAATTCAGAATAACCAATGAGGAACCAGTATTCTGGTTCCAACAAAATCCATCTAGCTCCGACAGGAATCATATAACAAGATGTATTCGAACACTGATTGACCAATACGGGTTTGGTTAGTGACATTACGTCGGAGAAAATTATTTAATTCCTTTAATTTCTTTCAAGAAGCCAAACCCTAATCCTGTGGCTTCATTCCTACTTCTCGGCATCGGGAAGCTTCGATAACTGTTTATTAATACGATTTATATTGTATTTTTGATCCCTGATCCGCATAAATTCAGAATAGTACACTATAGCAGAAGCGTATAATTCAACCGATGTTGACTGAGACTATGATGTGTCTTACCTACTGCCCTGTTCCGCTGGCAACGAATGACTCAATAATATCGGAGTACAGGAATCATAAACAGGAAAATTGCTTCATTCCCAAATAAATCTGCTCGATAAGTAATTGATCAACAAACAAAGGATCGTTCACTTTATAAGGAATCTATCCATTTAAAAATATGGATGCAATAAAATTATCGACCCCCTAATGTTTGTGAATTTGCAAAAAGCTAAATCAATATATATGCCAACAATTGATTCAATAATGTGCTCAATGTGCTGACCGTCAGTCGTGTCGCTCCGGGGGAAAAGATGTGAACCCCAATCTCGACGATTTATGCATGGTTCGACTCCATTCGGGGACTCAAAGGTTCTACGTGTTACGAATGAGTCCAAAAAAGACGAATCAGCTGTCTGTCGTTCATCACAGACCAAAATTTATCATCAATACGACGATTGAAGCTAATGCGCAGCTAACGTAATCTAAGCGGTTTTGACCCACTCTGTGAGATGATTATATAGACCCATTTTTTCCTGAGAATTCATATGGACTAAAACAAGAATATCAAAGTAATTTATACAACCACTAGATTATATCTAGTCTGGATGTGGTTTGGCTTTGGTACATGGCATAGCATGGCCTGGGAGGGGAGACACTGACCTTGAACAGGATTGTGGACACACCGACTGAACGGAGGACATTCTTTCACGGCACAACTAGGCTGACACGTGAAACCGTCTCCAACATAGCCAGACCGACAGACGCATGAGTGACTTAATAACTGCAGTGGAAAAAGAAAAAAGTTGAAAAAGAAATCGAATGAGAAAAGCGCGATCATGTTTAATCACATACCAATTGATGGATTAGTGAATACAACGCTCTGAGCAGCCTGAATTCGCACGCATAACAAAAATATTACAAACATAAGTGTGGTGACCCAGGCCTACGAGATGACGCCTACCCTGCAGCGGCGCGTCACAGTTTTCGGACACATGCGATCAATCACATTTGAAAGGTGACGTCAATGACACGCGTACGGCTTCTGACTGCACGCCTTAGGCAGGTTGTGCCAGCCAATCCGAGACAGTGCAGAATTATGCAAGCAATACTGCAATACGATTGGTGGAAGCCTAGATAACCAATGATCTTCTATTGTATATATTATTTAATCGCTTTTATTTCTTCCAATAAACGAACTACGAACTACCATTCTTGTGGCCTTCTCCTCGAGTCTCGTTCACGTGGAATATTGCGAGCTCGTGCCATTGCGGTCCAGTGCTTCCGTAATCTAGTCCATGATAGCTGATCGTTGATTCGTGTCCTGTCATTCCGATTGCGTGGTTCGTGTTCCGAATTCCGTGCGTATTACTACTACTACTACAATCACTACAATTAGACCATAGTGTTCATTTCGCTACTCAGATTCTATTTTTCTATCATCCTTTTTGCTGGCGCGAGCTGTTATTGTGTACTGTTAGAGTGAGAGATTCGCAGTAGAGTGCACTCGGGTATGATCAGTGAATAAACAGGTCCAGGCATGTTCCCTGCTAATGTATGGCGGTTCAGAGCCAGCTTATTAGTTGGAAAACAAATCTAACTAATTGGTCGAGCGACTTAATTGGAGGTAGGCTTTCCGATGGGTGGGTAGAAAGTGCCGTTTGATTACATTATCTGCAACAGGTAATTGTTTTGCTCTGTCTTTGAAGTGATATCAAACGACATTTTCTTTTTCCAGTCTCAATAAATGACTGCTCGCTGAATGCTCACATCAGACAGTGAAGTAAAAAAGTATGGGTAACAATGGAAAATCATATTGATCGCCTTTTACACTGTTTCTTTCCGATCCTTTGTTTAGCACTAAAAGCGTGGTGTACGAGGAAACTTAATCATACCAACTTTGTGTTTCGGTGGTTAAGTGGTAAAGGTTGCTCGAATGGCGTGTAGGTGAGTTCGAATCCCGCCAAGACCAACTATATTCCACATTTCTGTATTTCCACAGACAGCTTTCTTGCTGAGAGTTGACTGTGTATTTTCATACTCAGTAAACAGATAAAAAGGGAGTAAATACACTTATTAGTATCATCATTATTGAGTGCATAGCGCGATTATGAGTATACTAATTGGACAATTGAACAGCCGCAAGTTTTTTTTATCAAACAACCCCCATTCTACTGAAATCGTTAACGATCGCCAACATCATCCAGCGCTTTATTGATTCTACTTATACAAACTCATTTGAACTGTACATTTCATCATCAACCACAAAGTTTTACTGCAGATGAAATTCAACGGTTCAAAGTTCATTCGACCATTCAAATCAGCTTACCGAATAATCGGTCGAAGTCCTCATGTGCTAGATGACACTGATCAATAGGCAACCCCTTTCCAACCAGCTTTTGGTATGTACAACTGGTACCAAAAGCTCGCTAATCAATTCTGATTGTTCATCTACTATGGCTAATACACACAGTCGAACTGTATCTGTAATTACGTCAGAAACCGGTTAGAAAATATCCAGGGATAGTCAAGCCAGAATAATTTTGTGGCTTAAGCAATACAGTTTATCTACTTCAGTTTCTGCATAGAGCACGGATAAATACAATTGGGTAACTGTCCTCACATCTGTCCTGTTGAAATGCGGAACTGGAATGCGCTTTCGAGGTTGCTTTATGAACTTACGTGTGCTCATCGACGGGGTCGGAACAGTCAACGTTTGGAACTAGTTTGTGCTTCACTGGGTAGTAGCGCTAAGTTATAGTCAATATACTGAAAGTGGCCTAAAGATCACAGGCAAACGTGTCTGATTTGCGGGGCATAGGGGAAGGGGAGAGAGCAGTTCCGGTACAAGAGTGCAGTCAATCAATGACCTGGAATTATGAGAGAATTACAAAAGATTGAATCCATCAACACACACGCATGGGATACGAACCACCGTCATCCCCACCCACCCCCACTCATTATTCCACAGGTGGCTCAAAAGCCATCGATGATAAGCACTATTCATGCTCCGCAATACATTGGAAGTTTTAAAAATGCTTTGGACGGTTTGATTGACCTATGTGAAGATTGTTTTGGTGACGTAGGGATTCTCTCATTTTTAACCAACAATGAGAATTTGGTTGTTTCTCTTCTGGAGTATGCATTATCCACAAGTAATTGTGAGTTGAGATGGAAGTTGAAAATGTAGCCTGTAATACGCGAAACCCTAGCCCGTTTTGATGAAATCTGTTGAAAATCAAAACACCCAAATAGGGCACGATGGTGACAAAACTCATTACCTCAGAGGAAGTGTAAAGCTGATTTATTATAGAAAATGTGCCCCTGGGGTTGTGAAATACAACTAAGACTATTCGAAGCGCTGTTATGAACGTTTAATTCATAACTCGAAATTTACACGCAACTTACGTATAGGATTGCACATCTGTGTTGAACAGTATTCATGCCTCGTAAGATAGGCGAGTAGCGATCACCAAGGTCAGGCATGCATCATGGTGAACCGTATGGAGATGTTATTTGTTGACACAGACCAAATACACCCTGGTCATCAGTTAGCACAGGGCAAAACAGGGGCCTACGAACCAGTGATCATAGAATTGTTGATAAAATCATCCCTCAACTTTTGATTGGTCGAAATCGATCTAATTACAAGAATAAGCGTGGAATCCGGCGAAAGAACTCCGATCCGCGTAGGCTCTTTAAGTCGGGGGAACAGGTGCGTCGAAGTTGGAGCGACCATTACATGAAACAAAGACAGCTGTTCCACATGAGTGGAACACTGTCGAAGTTCAGATAAACTGAAACTTGATCGTTATGTTTCAGACAAGAGCAAGTGTGTTTATAAGCCACTGATTGAATAATTCGGCAAAGCATGAGTCAGTCACTACTCCATGGCTTGGTCTACTACAGCCAATTGATGAACTGAAGGATTGATGCCTGTACATTCAGGAAGCCTTTTATGGCTGCATGGCTCCACGCATACTTCACCCCTACCTTGTATGATTACCCTCATTATTAGATCAATAGTTATGTGTTATAGCACAGTGTTCCACTCCGCGTATTGGGGTACCGCTCACACGGCTATGAGTAGCATCTTGGTACGAGTACATTAAAACAATCCACGATTTCTCACGACCTCTAGGAGCAGGAACCGGAACACCAGATTCCATATGTGGCCGCAGACTGAACCGTTTGTCCACCTAACCGGATTTTTTCTCGAGAACGTGACTACACTGTTTCATATGACATGCTTGAGCGGCTCTATGTAACCGGATTTCTCTCCAACCCATCGCGTGTTTGCAATCAACAGTTTCTCAGCTCGGCATTCGACTTATGAATTTTTTACTACTTGTGACTAGCCTACCCTTTTACAAAATGACAAGCCAACCCTCGTTCGGTGATAATCGTTCTGCTGAATGACTGCGAGAGTAGTGGGAGTCCTCTTTTTCCATAGAAGTATCAACTCAACCGGGAACAGATCCATGCTTAGGTAACAACTGGACAACCGTCGGATAAGTTTGCCTGGTCTCGTTGTAATTTCATAAATCGATGTGGTGTTAGTATCAGCTGGTAAACATTGCACTCTTCGGTGTAATTATCCAGGAAAACGTCCTGGAGCAAAAATATCAGAGAGGTTCACCCAAGATCCACAAGGTAGTCAACCCACTCAGATCAATCGTATACATACAGAATTCACCGTATGGCAAGGTGGCTGGATGTTGGGTTGACATAATCAATACCGTTCGTTAATTTGTGGCGCTTAATGGCGTTAAAGATAGTTTTAATTTATCCCCTCACCAGATATTTTCTATTGATGTTGATTCCCTTCTTACAAACGTCCCCCATCATGACGCAGCAGAGTTTGTATGTAATTATATCTGTTTAGTAAACATTCGCCTTCCTATTCCAATCGATTATTTCAAGTAACTGATCATTGTTTGCACCGAGAACACGTTTGGTATTTGAAGGAACGGCCCGAGCAAGTTGACCATGTAACAATGGTCAGTCTTCTGGATCCAACGCTAGCGGATGTATTATTCAAAATAGTTGAAAAATGTTTACAGGATAGTAACTACTTCCGTGACTGTTTTGTGCAAACCTTATATGGAAACTTTTTTGATTTTTATAGATCCTGATCATTTTAATACTATTCATACCGATCTCTCTGTTTCTTTTAAGAGGAGAAGGATGGTTGTTTGAGTTTTTGAGATATGAAAACCACTAGGTGATAAGATGGGATCTTCCAACGATCTGTCTACTGGAAGACCATGTGGAGTGAACGATACTTACAATTTGCTAGTTTTGCTCCTGGGGCATACATAAGATCAGAACACAAGTCCGAAGGCATACATAAGAGTTTGAATGTGATCTTTGTTCCATCGTGCCGGGACAAATATCTGCCCCCTTGACACGCTTCGAGAAGAATAGGTCTTTCTGGAAAGGATACTTTGGATAATATTTATCCAGAGACATTTATTGATGTCCAGAGTGGGCGAAGGTCACCGGTTGATCCCATCTATGAAATACCGAAGAAATGTGTCTTCCATAGACTAGCCCTCAATAATGTTCATCTGATGAACGAATTGCATCAGAAACTCAAGGCGGCACTGTGTCGAACATTTCCTGCCATAGAGCTTTAATTACCAAAAGACTTTGTTTGGACTTTCGAAAGTGGAGTCGTCCGACTAATTCTGCTCCGCCTGTTACCTATCAGTTCATCTGCAGTTGCGGGGAAATTGACGGCGGCAAAACGAGTCGGCCCCTGTCACAACAGATGGTCGAGCACACTCCCAACTGGTTATTACAGTCAATGACGCGGTACAACCTCAGAGGTCAATCTGATCGCAAAACATCTCATGGCAACTAGACACATCTTTGACCCACTTTTGTCGTTCAAGCCGCTGTTGCGTAACATGAATTCCAGGCTCTTAGCGTTCAGCAAAGCGATATTATACGGGATAACACTTCGGGGGACGGGGGAATCGAAATCCGTGCCACGGGAATCCAATTTGGTGAGCACAGACGTTTCTGACGTAACCGGTTTAATTGCCGTGGCACTGAATCCGGTTTCCCTTCCCCCGAACTGTTGTCCGTGTAACCACTGTAGTCATCAAAACTCACTTGTATAAAGCGATATTCATCCAGTTACGTAATTCAAGTTTGTGTGCACTAAAGTTTATGACGCAATTAAACAAACCACCATTAGACTGATTTTGGGACCGGCTGTCCCTCCTCTCCCCTTACTGTTGTCAGTAAAATTTCTAAAGTCATCGAAATCTCCTTGCATAAATACCAGATTGTTTTACGTTGTAGTGAGTGAGGAGATAAAAAGAAATGCTAACATCTCCAGATATTTGTCTTCGTCTTGTTCGGACTTCAAAGTATCAACGAACAATTGGATTGTTTCAAAAAACCGTCACAATGTTTGTGGTGGAAAACGCGGGCGTACAAAATTGAAATGAACGCCTCAGTGACATGCTAGCGGTTATTGTGCAACATAAACGAAGAAAGGAGGAAACCTGATAAAGTATTGAATATCGGTTCCTGAACAAAGGATTGACTGGATTTATTTTCGTCTGTTCCCCGGAATTAGCTGTTTGCTTGCCAAAGTTTCACCACCACCACCACCACCACCAC